TAAACGTTTATCAGATATTTGCTTGGTGTATAAGTAACGCGAACAGGGAGGATAATGCGTTTTACGTCCAAGAGTACGGGGATATAAGACACCTAATTTAAAATGTTTGATGTCCGGGACCTTTTGTTTGTTAAAGAAGTGATCTATGAAGTGCATATATTGCTGAATGGAGGGGGTTTGCAATTTGGAGTGAAGAGAGTTATGAACTATCCGCAAAGTGTAGCGATGTGCTTTTGAATTCTAGGAAAATGTTCATTCCAGTTAATATATTTTGCGTAATAAATATGAAGGTTTCTAGCTCATTTTCAGACGAGTGCAACAAACACTTATATTACTTTAATTGATTCTCAAATTTACTTCAATAAGATTTTTATTATTTGAGTTGTGTTAAAGCTATTAGCTCGTTCGTTGTCTTTTGGCAGCAAGGTTTGTGAAAATGCCGACAAACGCGAGTTGCAATCTAACTGCCTTATGCTTTTCGCTCCGCGCAACTCACAAGTTTCGTAAGCCCGTGGAGATGCTGCATGCAATCGAGATTTATTATTAGCCCTTCAAACTTCGGCTTGTGCAGACACAAAAGCGTGCGTATAGAAATACTTTCAAAATATTTTTCGTTTATTTGGATGAAAGTAAGTATCTCCTTTTCTATTATAGGGTTATTATGGCATCGATAAGGATGTGTTCCTATCTTTACCTTGCGTACTGGGAGAAAATGGAATTTCGAAAATTATAAAACTTCCGCTGACGGAGGAGGAGACTTGCCGATTGAAGAAGTCGGCTGACGTTATCTGCGAGGTGCAGAGCAGCGTAAAACTCTGAATAGTTGCACGTCGATCTCTTCAAAACGGTGCTATCTACTTTATTTTATATGAAATTTTATTATTTTTTATATACATAATTTTGTTTTGTTATATAATTGAAATATATATTATTTCTTTTGGCGTTGTTGTTTAATACTGGGACTGTGAAAACTCCTGTATTGCATTGATTAATTGAATATTTTGTGTTTCTGGGCACGTCCAAAACCCACATCCCGGCTTGCGTGGTTTTTTCTTCTTCTCTCCCCAGCTAGGGATCTCCCTACCAGGATTAGCTACAAAACCTGATAATGATGATAATATCAGTTCACGAAACTTAATTAAAAAAAAGAAATAAATGAAATAGAATTGAACAAAAAAATTGAATATATCGTACTGTATATTGTGTTCGACAGTTGTTTATTCACCTTGTTATATCTATGTAAGTTCTCGAAAGCTTATAGTGACTAACAAAACACAATCATACTGGATCGTATTGAAATATTATTAAAATAAATCTTTGGCCTTTCGCTCTTGACGTCGCCCAACTGTACGACGCCCTCACAGGTATTGAACGCATCATGACATTCGATAGTGACAAGAAGGTTGAAGTTATCTGCAATTACTCGTTATTTACACTCCTGAAAATATATTATTTACAATAAATGAGACCAGAAATGTATAAGATATTTCAATAAAAAAGCTGCTAGATATCCTCTTCGCGTAATGATTGATTGTGAGCTACTGTTTTCCAATGTAATTGAATTGACATTACTTGAATTTAAACTGTGCCGCTACTGAATGCTTCGATCGACAAAATGTTCAGAAGCGCAATGTTCCGTGTGTCACGTTTGATTGGAATATTCTTCCTCGGTGACCTATGCTTCTCAATATCGGACGATCTACAGCTCATCTCTATGAGGGAAAGTATAGGTCTCCTGAGAATTAGATTCTTTCCTCAGATAAATATCATGTATGTAGGCCAAGATCTGAAAAGTAGCATTACGCATGTGAATGTTTATTGCCAGTAAATATCCAACGTGAGTTTACCCGGAGCACAGATTCGGAGAATGCTGTTCATGTGGTTAGGTATTCTTGACGATTTTTTAGATACGCTAGTATCAACACGAATAAGCAGTACTTACCGTATCTCTCAACCAGTGCGCGATGTTCTGCTGGGTTTGATTGATTGATTAGCGTTTCCGTGCGCATCAACTACTAAGGTCATTAGTACCAAAAGTGTGTATGCTTTTTATCGCGAGAGATGGCGGAGGTCTTGCCCCCCTGGCTGGCGATATCCGGTGCCGATCCACGTTGCCTTGTGGGTTTTTTCCGCAACGAGTTATCTTCTACCAGCGAAGCACTGCGACCTAGCCAGGACAGGCTCTAAGGTCCCGACTGGTTTCTCGACATATGACGTGGTTGTGAAGTACATGTGAGTGTAGGTGTTTGTAAGTAATGGGAGGGAATATGACAAGGAAAAGGATCACATTCGGTACGAGGTCCGTTTCTTAGGGTACATCTTAGGCATTCGCCTGGTGTTGGTCGAAAAAAACAGGGAAAACTACCGATCAGAGCAGCCCGCCTAGAATTGAATTCCAGACAGCGGATGAATGCAACCTAGCTGACAAGCAAGAGTCGAAAAATCCTGCCGTCGTGGCTCGAACCTAGGACCTCCTAGCCAGAAGCACTGCAGTGAATCAGTTGATGTATGATGATGATGATGATGATGATGATAATGATGTTGGGGAAATCTCAGTACACCACCAAAACATCATATTCGGACAAGAGAGGAAGAGAGAGAGGGAAAGACAGAGGGAGATATAGAGAGAGGGAGAGGGGATGAGAGAGAGAGAAAAAGGGCTGTGGTACGAGGAATAAGTATCGGCTCTTACTATCAGTTGTGCGCTCATTGATGTCACTCAATTAGGGGGGGGTGGATTAACACGTAAAAATGATTCACATTTATTTCCCAAACATTAGCTAATTTGTAATTAGTTCGTTTTACTCCCTATTATTCTAGTTATTCCTCCAACTGGAGAATGTTTGTATATCATTGTATTTATAAAGGCACAAATCAAGAAAGGTATATTTTAAAACTGCCTTTTTAATAAACAGTATTATTCCCATTCATAGTTTTGTGATTAAAATCCACAAATATCCACAACCTATGAACTGATGATCTGACAACGTTCCGAAGTGGAAGTCTGCTGTCATATTTAATTGAAAACATGTATCTGGACCTCTCTCTACCTATCAAATAAAATTGAAACTTACTTTTCGACTTTTTCAAAAATATATAGTATGTAGTATGTGGGAACATTCCCAAGCGGGAGAAATGTCCAACAAATGTTTTTTCTTTGAAAGTTAATGTAGAAGAAGCAACTGGTGTAAAAACGTGACCGAAAAGAACATCTTGGTAGTGATAACTTCCGCCCTTCTTATGAATAGAATTTCAGTGTTGTGGATCTGTAACATTAAATTCATACCTTTTTGTAGACATATGGAAGCATGGATATATTTCCAAAAACTGGTAATATTGTTTTTAATTTAGTAATACATTAACATCACTAGTTTTAAAATTATATTGTAAAAAATCTTTATTTTCCTCTTTTAAAATGAAATTACATTTGTTTATAAATTAGCAGGAGGTTTGCACTCGCGAAATTCACGATTAACACTGAAGAATTGAACTAATCTAGTTTATTGGTATCAATGAAAGACCAGAAATTTCATCCAAAGGACATTCGTTCATTAACCTTTACCAATGTTTATGAAGATATGTGATAAAATATATCATAGAAAGATTTATCACATTGCAAATATCCTTGCGTAAAACTTCATGTAATGATTTACCGCCAACAAAAATGTTACAGCTGTGTTGCTGTTAAACACATCAAAATAACATTTTTCAGAATCGTTTCTCATTACAAATATATGTATGCAACAAACATTTTCTAAAATTTCTTTAAGTTTTAATGTCCCATTTCAGAAAAATATTCAATTAAAGAACATATGTATATGAAAAATATGTTAACATTATT